TATGTTCCTGAATTCTAAATGTTGTTCGTATTTTTGTATCCCTAATTTAATAGAAGCAATGTTCACAAAGGATGTTGTAAAATGAGTTTTTCATTGGGTGGTTTGGTGTGAACTAATTTCGATCGTATTGTGTTGTGGCTTCTGAATACTGTTCTGACTTCATGTTGTTTATATATCTTCTACGTGTTTTTAAAAAGACGTCTGAAACAAAGAAATATGATTGTATGCTTGTAATTTTTTCCTGTCTATTCTCAGTGCTTATCTTCTTTATTTCCTTCTTTATCAAACGATTCTCTTCAACACTAATTTTTATTTTTCAGATTATGTTTCTTTCACTATTTAGAATTTTGATGCCTGCAATTAAGACGTGCGCATTTCGCCATCAGAATCAGATGGGAGCGGTGTATCACCTACTCTATTCGTTATAAAATGATCATCTATCATATACAGACTACTATATAAAAACATATCGCTGGAATAAGAATAAGACACCATTACAGCGACATCTGTATAGAACTCCTGTGAAAATATTTTAAGATCGACTCAACTTTATTTCCAGCAGCTGGCAAGCATTTCAAATATTGGAAATCCACGACGTTTTTTTATACTGAATATTAACCAACATAGCTTTCCTTAGCTTCTGTGTCCACGTCATAATATTATATTCATAAAAAAGTCAAGTATATGATATACAAACAGATCCTGTTACGAAAGTCCTTAATTAATCTAATATTATAAATAGATAGTAGAGTCTGGTAAGCCAGATTTATAATAAATATACGTGATTATATGGTTATCATTATTTGTTGATTGTTCATTAATTTGTTTTTATATACTTTTAGCTAGCTGGAATACCAGTCTCCTGGACGAAAGTTATGTAAATTCATGATTAAAGAAAGGTTATCTTAGGACATGAAAAGTTGCTTCCCATATATGTAATTGTAAAAAAAAAAGAACGCCCATAAATACTGCAAAATACAAAACGTGAAACCGTAAATTTGCATGTATCTCCGCATGGACTTAATAAACCTTCTTGCCAAATTTGGTGAAGATCCATCAAGAGGGCGCGAAGTAGTGTCAGAAAAAAAAAAAAAACGCAAAAGATTGTAAAACTGAAAATTTGTATGTATCTCCCCCATGGTCCCAATAAACACCCACACCATTTTGGTGAAGATCCACCAATACCCTGCGAAGTAGTTACATGGACGTACAACAGACAATTCTATTATACTTATATAGATTTTATAAAGTAAGTTGTGCTAAATAATTTGTTCATCTTCTCCATTTTCCTTAATCTCAGACCAGTATTTTAAACTAAACATTTATAAGTTACTACACCTGCAATGTGATCTCATACAAAAACATTCATTTTGATTACTTTATATAACATCAAGATTCGTTTGGTAAGCTTTCATGTACATAAGGTAGAATTTGTTTTGAATTTCGTGCAAAGCTACAGGAGGGCTATCTGCGCTAGCCGTCCCTAATTAAGCAGCGTAAGACTAGAGGGGAGGCAGCTAGTCATCACCACCCACCGCCAACTCATGGGCTACTCTTTTACCAACGTTATTACGCCACCACGACTGAAAGGGTGAGCATGTTTGGTGTGACGGGGATTCGAACTTGCGACCCGCAGATTGCGAGTCGAGCACCCTAACCACCTGGCCATGTCGGACTGTATAAGGTAGAGAAACAGCGCCATCTAGAAAAACAGTAAAACAAACTCTTCATTTCTTCTGTTGCCGAGGTTGTTAAGATCTAAGCAACCAACGGTCTATCTTGTTGGATTCTGTATTTGGAGCAAAATATTTTTGGCCCCAACCGTGTCTAACAATTTGGAAAGTTTAGTTTTAAGATGGTTCTGTAACACATTAAAAAAATTCAAAGAGTCGGAGAAAATCTTTACAAAAAGTAAAATTATCATGCACTTTACTTGTTTATTACACTGAGACGAAAACTATTAGGCATTGCGGTGATACGTAAAATTCCAATTACTCTGTACTACTGACACGCAAATACTATTAGGCATTTGTAATAAAAACGTTGGTTACTTCTTATTGACACGCAAAAACTATCAAGTAGCGTAATAAAAACGTCGGCTACTTCTTATTTTCCCGCACACTGTTATTAGTGCATATTATCAACCTAAAATTTCAAACTGTTGAAGAAACAAACTACCGACAAAACGGCATCATCATGTGAACCTTATAGCTTTAAATGCTGTTTATATCGCAGCGAGATCATATACAATGGAGCAAGAAACCGTCCGAATGTTCAATTCTATTTTCCTTACATCTGTTTCTATTTGGATAACAATAAACAAGAGATTTAAATGCCCTGTAGGTTCAGGTAAGTGTTTAAAGTGGAATGATAGAAATGATATTCAAACACTTTAAGCAGTTTAGCATCTGAGTAGAAATTAATAACATCATCAAATTGGAAATGATGAAATATGTATTAAGTTAAGAAGGGTCACATATAATTAAAATATGCACGCAAGTTATACATATTGTATGTATACAAAAATTTCAAATATGTACATATATCCATACGAAACATAAAAATTAGAAACGTAAATTTCTGTGTGTTTCCAGCAGTGTATTTGTTACAAGACTTTCTCAGGACACTGGCTTGTATTAGTATTATTCCTATCATAGGGATGAAAAAAAAGACAAAAAAAAGTTGCACATGATGTTCCAAAATTACTACGTTTTATATCATCTAAGAACGCTTGTCTAACCCCCGGGCAAACATTCCATTAGATGTTTTGTGCGTAAACCCTACTCTTAACTAGCTGATTCGTTGTGTTTACCTTGTCATAGAAGGTGTTACGCCTCTGGCATTTTATTTTATTTTTTCTTTTGACAAAAACATTGGTGTAGATATGGACGTATAAGCTTATGTGCATTAGTTTTGATCCAAGTAGAATGCCCCTTCATTGTTGTTTACTTGTGTTTTACCTCTTAGTATTGAATAAAAATAAGAGTAACAAACAATTAACACATAATTTATAGAAGAACGATAAATCATACATTATCCAACACCTTTCTTTTATACAGTTATTTTCTTGCTAGCTAGAGTATTTTGAATGGTTAAAAATAAATCTTGTATATTAACACCTGCCACACGAGCCAGCTTACCATCTTTTAGTACTGAGCCTAGGATGGTCAACTGGGAAGTCATTTCGGACACCGGTGATTTAGGATTATTTAGATAGATCTCGATGAATGAAACTCGGCACAACTACTAAAACGAAAACAACAACAACCAAGTATTAATGAAAATATGACATTATGAAATCTGTATGAATCATACTATGGTGGTACCATACTAGGCGTTATACCATTTCGAAGATATCATCCGTTTGACATAGCAACTAAATCAGAGATTAGTCAGATTAGAGATTGATTATGCTTTGGCAGCGAAACATAAAAAAACGAGCACAGTACTATCGTTATCTTCAAAGGGGGGATTGGAATCATATACAAGAAATCATTTGTTTCAATATTTATTTTATAAACCTAATGGCATAGTGAACCCTAAATATGCAATGTTGAGGTTGAAGCGAATATACGATGCATTACAAAATGATTTTCCCAGCGATTCTCATATTAAAAATGCCATTTCTGCAAGGAAGAGTAAATATAAGAAAGTTAAGTTCTTCCCTCATCCGATCTGTACCCATGGTTTAGCTTAATCGCTACACTTAAACCATCACATTCACAATCACATCTAGAACATTTCAAGCCTGTTTCATTGCTGCATCTTTTTACTTTACATTTAAAAGTTAATTTCTCCGTGTTGGTTCTCATGGTCTCAGATCAGGACACGGGTCTGGTCCAGCGACATAGACTTAAAAAATGCCAAACGTCTTATTTTTCTCTAATCAAAATAACTCAAACCTTTCCAGAATGACTTTTTTTTTTATCCACATCACAAGTTTCGATGAACTTCTTTCACTTGTTTACCAGGTTACACAGCTGGTATTATACGATTATGTATATGAAGAATATTGTTTGAATAATTAGAAACGTGCTAAATGTTTAACACAAAAACATTACTGAATCAATCCAATGTTTAGTTTCTTCTTGCAATGAATTTTACAATCGTTGTTTTTATTTTCTACAAATTTCGCTTGCAGCCTGTGTTTTCGATGGAAGGATTTATCAATCAGCTGAACAGATTCAAAGACCTGATGCATGTGAATTTTGTTTCTGTTTCCATGGTGATATCCTCTGTATCAAGCAGACATGCCCACCTCCTCGTGTCGGTTGCAAAAAGGTTCCCATCAGTGGATACTGTTGTCCACGCTATGAATGTCGTAAGTATAAATATTTACGTTTTAAATAAAGCATTTAAATTTCACTAAAATACTTCATGTGATTAACATTTTTAAACATCGTAATTACTGAAACACTTCAGTTTGAAATTGATGTCTAAACACTATTTTTGTGCTTTCTTACACACATTAATGTAATTTTATAATTGTATACATGTAAAGAAACATCACCTTTGCTTCACAAGAAATATATTATACTACTATTGTTTTCAACAGCTAAGTAGGCAAAGCATGAAAGCTATTTAAGATTTTGGAATGTTATGAAACATCAAGTTTGACTTCAAAATATCTGCACCGTAGAGTGAATTCATCACGTTTCTTATGTTTCATTATTCTAAGAGTTTTTTTTTCTTCAAAATTTCATGATTCTTTTATTTAAATTGACATGCTATGGAACTACTTCGGAAAAGTGATACAGCAATAATTATGATAAATTAGGCTTAATCTACGAGAATTAAGCCTAGTTTATCTTAGTTAATACTATGTGCCTTAGTATCTTTTGGCTTCCGCGAGTATTAAGATTAACTCCCAATTGCAATAAGTCCATTTCGGAAATGTGAACTCACATTAACTATGATAAACTAGATTTAATTCACAACAGATATGTCATGTGCTCTGGTGTGGTTGGGTTTCCGCTACTATTAATATTTACCACTGGTCAGAGAAAGCTACCTGCTTAAGACAAAACTCAAAATCAATGTGGTGATAAGTATAGCTAATTAAATATATTTTTCTTATGTTATTACTTATAAAGATTAGAATGCGTTATATGATCAGTTGACACCCTCGCTCTTAACGATATCTTTGCCTGTGATACAGAGGATTTTCAAATACAATACATCATCACTGAATCCATCTCGCTTTTAAAACGCTATGTTGTTTTTAATATTTCCAGCTGTGAAGATGATGAGTATGACAACAACATCAAACACCCCAATACCTACAAGAAGCAGGCTTCGCAAAATTCTGAAGCGTTCCGTGGAAGTACAAGGTAGATGAACAATTTATTTTGTTTAGGAAGTTAAAAACTAACATGTAAAGTGAATAAAGTTTTGTTGAAACAAATCTCTTACTGCGATACTTCAGTTGTCATATAGTAATCGTTTTTTCGTAATGTTTACTAGAAAGATATCAAATGTTCATGTTCGGTGTTATTTTCTTCTCTGGTTATGCACCATTTTAAATTATGCTTTGAAACTAACGTTTACAATGTTCACAGGTTGCCAAGTAAACAAGGAATTCTACAGAGTCGGAAAGACTGTGACATCACTGAGTAATCCATGCATGAGGTGCCAATGTGGAGAAGTAGGACTATTGACTTGTGATCCACAACCTTGCAAACCTAAACCGCCATTACTATTACAGCTGAACAAAAGATTTTTTACGAGCCTATAAATGGCGTTAATTCTCGTATCCCCCCTCCCACACAACTAACAATGAACATTCCCTTTGTGATACCGAGATCGCTAACAAGCTGATACCGCTTGTACATCGTTGAAACTGTAGCAGCACAGCAGGCTTAATTTTTGCTGTTTTAATTTTTATTGGTTTGGAATAAGCGATGTCCTTGCCGGTCGCTGTGTTTTAGATCTAGGTTCACAATTATACTTGTACTTCTTAAATGTCTTGAAATTTACTTCTGGACTTCGCTGACAGGCTTAAATTTCAATCAACGGCAGAAATACAGAAGTGTGATTTTAACTTTAGTATTAAATGACAATGTTTTTTGTATTTATATGATGTTTGTTTTGACAATGGGCTCTATTGTATTGTTAAATATTTTGTCGAATTCGTTGCCAGTATTTTGTTTAAGAAAAAATGTTCAATTGTCCGCCGGGATCAGTTATTCATTTCCCTGGTGCCAAAACCGTCCTGAGAGGTAACATTATGTTCCTCTCCTCGCTTCTCGTTGTTGAATCTATTCCTTTCATGTCAGTTAACGCTATCATAACCTTCCATCAATGAAGAAAATTGTATTTTTGTACGTAATTATACTAGGTTTTGGCTAAAATAGAAAAGTGGCTTATTTTATTAGCAGCATTCGTTACGATAACAGTATTTTGTATTGCTAATATTAAAGTAAAATACTCATATGAAATCATGGCTTATCAATGTCTTCCATTATTTGCTTATTGCAAATATTGTAAAATGTTAAATAGATGGCGCTTTTAAGGTGTATTTTCGAAAAACTGGACTTAACTGTATATATATATATGTATATCTGAACACTGAAATTCCTGACATTTATTGGTAAGGATACTAGTCTCCTTTCACTGCTGGCTTACAGGACATTCTAATATTACTGGTTCATGTGTTCAAATGGTACTTATTTCATTTGGAAGTAAATGAGAATGGTTTCAGTTCCGTCCTTTTTTATCTAACTGGTTAAGCCATAAGCCCATTTTCGTTTTATTTTGAAACAAAGTGTAAGCTGTATTGGGTTTATGCTAATAAATATACAAACGTTGTAAGTTGTCTATTTGTGATTTTATCATTTACAAATAATTTCAGTGAAAAAGTAAAAATAAGATTGTTTTTAAGGAAAACTCGGTAATTTCGTTATTATCATTATTACGTTATATATATATATAAGATAACTTCGAGAAATATTTCAAGCAATTGCCCCAGCTAATGGACTACAGCGAATTCCGGTTGAATTTTTTCCCATCTAATAGAGGGCGCTATCAAAATGTATATAATTTTGAAATTGTTCTTACTATGTTATATTAATGGTTCCTCAGTGGTCAACGATAAATTTGAAGGATTATAAAAACGCTAGAATTTAGGGTTCGGTTCATGCAGCGCACGTAGCGCACACAAACAAATATGGTTCAACATAATTTGAATCATAGGAATTCAACCATGTCGAATTAGTATGTTTAAATGCTAAATCAATTATTTTAGCTAAAAACATCTACAAGTGTTGCTAAATCAGTTATTTTTGTTTGAGATAATTACAAGTGATACTAAACCCGTTGTATTGCTAAAGACAGACAGTAAATGATGTTAACTATATTTTAAATATTGTTTAAGACAACTGCAAATAATGCTAATTCGGTTACACTATTTAAGACCTCTGCGAATAATATTAATTCGGTTACATTGTTTAAGACATCTGCGAATAATATTAATTCGGTTACACTATTTAAGACATCTGCGAATAATATTAATTCGATTACACTATTTAAGACATCTGCGAATAATGCTAATTCGGTTACACTATTTAAGACATCTGCGAAAAATATTAATTCGGTTACACTATTTAAGACATCTGCGAATAATGCTAATTCGGTTACACTATTTAAGACCTCTGCGAATGATGTTAATTCGGTTACACTATTTAAGACATCTGCGAATAATATTAATTCGGTTACATTGTTTAAGACATCTGCGAATGATGTTAATTCGGTTACACTATTTAAGACATCTGCGAATAATATTAATTCGGTTACATTGTTTAAGACATCTGCGAATGATGTTAATTCGGTTACACTATTTAAGACATCTGCGAGTTATGCTAGATTGGTTAGATTATCTATTAGAACAGAATAATTCTGAATCAGTTATTTAGTTAATATTTTTTTACTGACATAGTCGAAGCATAAACCTATAAAAATAAACTGTAAGAAAAAAAACAGCTTATATATGTAGTACTTTATACAAATAATACATGACAAGGCTTCTGAATCCGTAACCAGGCGCTCTCAAACACAATGACAACCAAACCCGTGAAGCTTCTCCCGACAACGTTATATTTATTTGTTTATTAGCTTGTTGAGATTCAAGAGAGGTATATTTAAAACCTAAAATTGTTGCTGTGTTTGGTGTTCAATTTTATGTACTTCTCTCTAAAGAGAATCAAGGTTAATAAATCATTTTGTCAGATATCAGAAAATGTAGAGTCACAATGTTGCTTGTGTCTTTCGTTCAGGTAGAATTTATATAAACATTTATCATTCTATATCTAATATTTATCGACATTGTTTCTGAGAAGTTATTATAACACTAAATCACGGGGGATCGATACCCTCGTTGTGCACATTACAGATAGCACATTGTGTAACTGAGAAGTTAATATTTTTGAATACGTAATTTAGTTGTAGCTGCAGTTACATTTGAATTGTCCAGAGTTACTGATGATGGCATTTGCAGTTTAATGTCATAGTATCACATTTCGACAACACTTATATTCCTACTAAAATGGAACAAATTAACGTGTTTTAACTAACATTTCGAACTGACCGCTACTTTAATTTTGATCTCAGTCATTATATTTGAGTATCGAAACTCTTTGCATTATTTCAGATAATTAAAATATAAGAGATAAAAAGTAATTTTCGTAATTGAATGCAAATAAAGGAAATGAAACCTTTGATACCGCTAGAAACCGGTTTAGATACCCGTGATGGGCAGACCACAGATAACCCATTGTGTAGCTTTGTGCTTAACTACAAACAAACAGATAAAATTATTTCCAAAATCTACATACACTGTACGCCTAACAGATATGGTTTCGCCACCTAGTGCATATACCCGAAACTTGTTAGCAATATTAAAATACGTTCTACACCAGATGGCAGCACAATGGCAATGTATAAGTAATCACGCTTTTTAAGAACATTGTTATAATAAATATTTTGGCCGTTATTTTCAATTAATAAGGCTGCAGTTTATTTGTATAAGGTACACTACACTGATATACAAGAACATCTAAGTAAGTTGTTTCTGTCTGTTAACCTGTTAGTTGTCATTTGTACAATAAGTACGAAATAGAAACTTTTTAGAACTTTTTATTTTATTTTATCAAACACTAATAAGTTATTTTATACTTAAGCAAATTTGCACTTTGTTTTGTATGTAAAACTTTCGGTAAATATTTTACTAAAATACGAGAAGACATCTTTGGATAAAATCAATTTTACTGTACTAAAATTATATAAAAAGTTTCTTAATCCTACCAGCAAAGTACGTTTATTATTTCAAAAGGTTAAGTTCGAAAACTTGAATAACTTTGAACGATCATCATTGGTGGCAAAACACTTTTAAGATCACAATACAATCTATAAGATTCTAGCTGAAAATAGCAAACGATTCACACATTAATTATTATCTCAGATCACAAGTCAATCACTACAAAACCAACTGTGAAACACTCATTGTCTCAGGCTTTAAATATTTATTCAAGCATAGAATGACGTCATTACTCGTTAAGCGAGGCTGAAAATATTTTTTTAATGATCTTTAAATTTCAAAATAAACTGTCATTTTTACATTTCAATACAAAGTGCCTTAAATCTTACAATAAGGTGTTATCCTGAAATGCACAATAAGGTGTTATCCTGAACTTTCACAATAAGGTGTTATCCTGAAATTTTACAACATAGTGTCATCCTTATATTTCACAATATAGTGACATCCTTAAAGTTCATAACAATGTGCCATTGCCCTCTGAATTAAAAATAAAATAGTACCAGTTGTTGATATAAACGTGAAATAATTGGTAGCTACAAATTTAGTAGAGGTAATTAAGAATATTTTGAGTCAAATTAGAAAAGCAACAGAACGTAAAAGCCTCTTTGAAAAAAAAACAACCTTTTTAATGTATGTTCGAGGCTGGAATACTAATGAGAGGAATGCAACACCTATCTTAGCATTAAATAACCTTTATTAACAACTACAATGTAGTATTGAAGACTATATGCTGCTTTATTAGCAGCATGAAGAAGACTTGTATTACAATGGAAAAGTAATTACTCCTTAGTTAACAAGTTTCAAAGCCCGATTGTTCCAAAAGGGAAACGATATTTTCTGTTGGTTTATTTGCTTTGTTATTCGATTTATAAGGGAAAGAGTTTCATATGATTAAAATACAATGTTGCTGGATTTTTATAGGAAATTGTATATATATATATATTGTTTTCAATTCATCTAAATCGTTCTATTGCTACGTTACCAATCAACCTGTTCCTGATATGTTTAGAAATGTTTTCATCTAATACATAATAGGTTCGTCATTCATGATGTTTTGCTAAAACTAAAAGTACTATTGACAAAGAAAAAAGCTATTTTGATGTTAGCTAAATATGTTCTAAACACTAATATCAAGCTATTGTTGTTAAAGATTCATCAATTGTTTTATTTCAAGTATACGTTATACATATCGATTAAATCAATAATTAGACTCTTGGGGTAAACTTGCCCGAAGTTTCGACACAGTGATGATGAGAATAAATTTGATGGGGATATCACGTTCAATCTCAATGATACTTTTTATTTATATATCCATCGTTCCTTAGATTTTAACCCTGTTATTCGTTGGGAAATAATCACAAAGACAATTCAAAATAGTATATAAAGAAATCAAACAGGCTAAGTTGTTCTTTCTAAGCCATTTTATGGTTAGAAAAACTAATACAAATTTTCACAACAAACTATTCTAACCAATACTTTCACTTCGGCATTTAGTTTCCACTCTTGTGAAAAAATGTAATTAGTTCTACTATGCTCTAATGACAACCTCCGGTAAAGGTTACAAACTATGGTGATCTATTAAGATATCCTTCACTCCTAAAGCTTC